CGCGGCAGTGCTTCCTCAACTCATTTCAGTTCCTATCGGATTTTCTCTTGTCAGCTTTATTGGCATCATTGTCAGCTCTTCTTCTCAAGTTATCTATGGAGAAGCTGTCTGGTCTCCAATTGATTTATTGGGAAGATTGTTGGACAACAGCCCATCTAGTGCTACTCGGTTTGGAGTCTGGTTCATCGCTGCCGCCTTCATTCTGGCCCAGGTTCGTATTTTCTCTTTTTTTCTTTCTCAGAGAAATAACTTATAAATTATGATTTTAGCTTGGGTATATTTTATTCTGATTTAATAATTTCAATAGTTCTCACTTGATTTAAAGTACCAATATCTCTGCCAACTCAGTCAGCGCTGGCTGCGATTTGACAAGCTTGCTACCTCGTTATATCGTAAGTTTATACAGACTCCTTGCGCATACTTGATTATTAATAGCTGCACTAGAACATCCGGCGCGGTGGTTATATTGCTGCAGTTGTTGGGTTTGCAATCTGCGTGAGTATGTTGTGGCTTCTCCATGCGTATTTCTTACCACTCCAATAGCCATGGCAATTGCTTAGCGATAGCAACCGTTTTACTTCGTATCTATCCGCTTACTCGGTCTTCTTGTCATCTATTGCTGGTGTCATGGTATGGTCATCCGTTTTTTTTTTTCAATGCGTTTGTCTCTTATAACTGGTAACAGATTGTCGAATACTGGTACATTCGCAAAGGTCACTACCGCGTCAAAGATTTATATCACGCTAAAAAAGATGGCTGGTACTGGTATACTTCCGGTATCAACTTTAGGTATGTTTTATTCTTCTGCCAGCTGGGTCTATCCCTTACATGAAACCTCTTTAACCTAGGGCATATGCCGCATATATTGCTGGTATCCTTATCAATGTCGTAGGGTTTGCTGGCGCAAGTAAGTTTCTATAAATACTTTATCCATATATGCTCGTATTTAAATTTTCTTCTAGCTGGAAGAACGGTCCCTCTCGCTGCCACTCGCATATACCAAATGGCCTTCTTCACTGGCTTTGGTGTATCTGCTCTTGTCTATATCATCCTCAATCGTTTATTCCCTGTTCCAGGCTGGGAATTGAAGTTCGAGGAAGTCGACGAGAGTGGTTTCTTGGACGACTCATCCACTCGAAGTATCGAATCTGTCAGTAGAGAGGTTGAATTCGTTGATGAGGACGATTTGACGAAGACCAAAAGCGGTTTCTAAATGTTTGCGATTTGTACTATCATGACGTTTTTCAAAGGAACTGGGCTTTATGTATTGTTAGAACTATATTGTTGAGATACTACAGATCCAATCGAACTAAAGCAGAGACTCTTGAATTTAATGGTCGAAAACTCTAAACGGAAGGACCGCGTTCGATACGGAAATGAGGGTATCACGGTCAGACTTGGATGAGGAATAGCCATTTCGAATATCGCTTATCTCTTATCCTGGTCCAATAAAGTAAGAAAGGTGTATAAAATTGGCTTTCTACAAGAGTGGGACAGGCATTGCCTCCAGATATCGATGGTAAGCGGGCGAGATGTAGTGAAAGGGTCTCAATGCACGAATACCAGTTCTATAGTAAGCTTAACTGTGGAGCAAAATCCATAATAGCACTCAATCACATCAGACCGTCCCTGGAAAAGACAATCTACTGGTAGGCAAAATGGAGTTGCTGGCAGATATAAGGCTATAAACGACCAGTCAAGAACTTGGTCGGAAAAGACCGTTACCTCGAACACGTTGTATATTCCATTGTGATGCCTTATATGGCAGCAAAGATTAAACACTTTAATCGACTAAAGAAGGGTGAAAATGACTTATTTCCAAGAAGATGCATTTAACCTGCTCTCTTAATCCATTATCAAGAAACTTCCTTCAACATGAGCTTTGCTACTACTAGTACGCTTCCCGACAATTCTCCTCCAGACACACACTCCTATGAGAATGCTGTCCAATTCCTTGTTCATGCCCACGCCGAGACCTTAAGTAACCCTATTCCTCACGAGTTTCCTCAGCCGTCACCTGGCCAGACACAAACCCTGCCGACCGAACGAACTAAGTCATCGATTCGCCGTTCAATAGACTCCTCAATAGACATTCTATACTCAAGTCAGTCCCATTCTTTTATTCACCCCAGGCATACATTCTGACTTGAAGCCGAATTGCTACCCTTGAACTTGAAGAAAATGCGCCGACTAACTGGGAATATCCCTCCCCTCAAGAATTTTACAACGCTCTAGTGCAGAAAGGCCACAAAGCTCCAGAGGATGTTATAGTGAACTTGGTCAATATACATAATAGATTGAATGAAGATGCATGGGTCGAAGTGATTAAATGGGAGTCCCGGTTTGGTCCAGGGTGCGTTTAACGTGTAGATATACGTGTGGGGCCTGGAATTTACAAACGCTCCTGAGGACAGACCTTCAGAGGCCGAGAGAACGGAGCTCGCCGAATTCGTCGCCAATCCTCTTGAAGTCTCCAACAAAGCCAAATTGTATCAATCCGCGAGACGGTTCCTTCCAAATTATTTGACGTAAGTTCTGGCAGATTCATTATTATTAATAAGTATCATTCTTTAACGCCCTTCGAACTAGTTTCGCGCCGCCTTTTGATCGTCATGACTGGATTATCCGAAGGCCTAAACACAATACGGAATTTCGATATATAATTGATTATTATAAATCTCGTAAAAGTGCAGATGCTGAGACGGAATTTCATATGGATGTTCGACCCGCAATGGACAACTTGGAGGCGGCGTTGATGCGACTACGAGCCCTATTATGGGACGTCTTTGACGCAAATAGAACAATAAAGTTGCGAGGTATACTGGGGTTGTGGCTTTTCGTGGTAGCTCCCATTTATGTTTTGGTACTGGCATCGGCCGGCTTCATAACCCGTTGAATATATAAGATACATTTTAGTAGTACATAGTGCTACATACAATATGCCACTCATCTGCTGTATATAAACACAACATGTAGTTCCCAACAATCATATCATGATCGTGACTCGGACACTGTCCGTTATTATCATCATATTTTACGCGTTTTGAGGTCATCATCTGGCACCCGAAACGACACTTCCTAATGGTAGAACACCAGTAAATTCTGAAGGAACTACTAATGGTTGACGACTTCTTCCTGGTACAAAGGTAAACGATTGTCCAGTTGGTGATACTACCGAACTTGGTACAAAGTTCGTATATTGAGTCCCGCTGGCTGTGACGTGTGATCTCGGAGGCGGCGTCGTAACGCGTGATTCAACATGCGTATGATCTGAACTAGAATAAGCTTCTATATCTGGTGGAGGTGCTGACGGTCTTGCATCGGGAGGTACATATGATATCGGTTCGAATCCAGGAGGCGGAGGGACACCTGCAGGCAGAGTGACGATGTCGTAATCATCCGTTGCATACCAACTTTGGCCAGGTTTGATTCGTGGAATGTTTGGATCAATGTGACGTAGTTCACTGGGGATAAAAGGATCTGAGAATGCGGAATCCGAGCCCGGGCCTGGGCTACCAATGCGTGCACCGCGATTGCGGTATCCATAGGCATGGTCGTATGGATTCGGATTGTAATAGTCTGCACTATTGCGAGGTTTGACACCACCCGGAACATAGTCAGCCGCGATGCGGTCTCCAACCCAGGGCATATCGCTGAGGAAACGGAAGAATCGACCGAAAGCGGTTGTAGGGGATGTAACATTTCTCAACTCTGTTTCGTCTGGGGGATTCTCTATTCTATTTCCTTCGGCATCCTGTGCCGCCGTCCAGCGAGAAAACACTCGATGAGGAAGTCTTGCCAGCGGTTCGGAGGGGGTCCTGTGGTGTCTGCGCGGTGGGGTGAAACGTGACCACCCCGATGTAATACTAGACGGTGGTGACCTCACCAGGTCAGCTGCATATCGATGTCGAGCTCTTTCATCTTCCTGTGCTTGTCTCAAGGCTTCGTTTTCTCGCCTCATTTGCTCGGCTTCAAGACGAGCATCCAGAACAGAAGCAGGTACCTCAGAAAAGCCGGCTTGTGAAGGCGTAGGCGTGTGAGAGCCTGGAACTGGTATGGGTTGAGGTGGATGAAGATGTCGAGCAGGACTGCGAATAGAGCCGTTGTTGCTTTCTGGAAGAGCACCATCTACACGCTGGAATCTGTTACGATTCCAATCTTGTAATCGACTGTCCACTATCGCAGTGGCATCTTCTTCTGGAAAATTGGAGACATATGTCTCCACATCGCTCCGCGCGAATGAATGATTGCTTGGCCCAGCCCCTATATCCCGCTCGTCCTCTAGGTGAGCGTCGGGTTCTAAATATCTCTCCTGTCCTGACTTGTCGCGTCCAGCTCTAACCAAAACCCCCGGTATCTTCCTCAAGCCACCAACTATACTCCTAAAAAAGTTTCTAGGATCAGGCTCGCCAGCTAATAGATCGGGAGATGTTGGTAGGCGGTGTCCTTGGTCTGTCGGGTTGAATTGAAGGCCTTGTGGTACCTGAATTCCTCCACCAGGTAGTAGAGCAGGTTCTGGACTAAGGATTTGCGATCGAGAAGGAGAATCGGAGGGTGAAGACACCACGACTTGAGGTACACGACCCCTGCCAACCTCCGACATTTGAACGGACGATGGGGCTTGCCTTGGTGAAAAATATCCATTGTTTAATGGCTGAGATCTTGTTCTCTGGCTTGTAGGAGAGCGGAGTTGTGCCTGTTGTTGAATGCTTCGAGTGGCAGTTGATGCAATGGAAGGCGTTTGCGCTGCGACCCATGATGGTTGTTGTGGCTGGACTTCTGAGGCAATTTGAGACATATCTAGCTTAGGAATAATAACGCGAATTGGCTGTCTTTGGGGCATCCAAGGTGTGGAAGAATGAGGAGAAAATGAAGGTCGCTGGCTGCGTCGTGCCAGCAGGCAACAACGTGTAGAGCTTCACGTGACTGGGACCTTATATTAGTCACAAAAGTTTGACCAATCCGCAGCCACATTGGGTCTTTATAAACGAGTCGCAAGCGGCCTGGTGGTCTAGAGGTATGATTCCTTCTTAGGGCATTTGTCATCTGGAGGAGGTCCCGGGTTCAATTCCCGGCTAGGCCCGCTTTTTGGTGGGATTCTCTCCTCTCTTACACTATACGTATTTTTTTGCCCGATATAATTTTTTTATTCCATAAATAATTTTTGTATAAATTCTCCTCGGTTCAGAAAAAGTTGAACTTCTCCCCACGACAATTAAGTATCTGATCATGAAAGGCATTTATAGGACCATGGAACATTCGGGTCACAATTAACTTCAGGTTTACCACACTTATTACCTGTATGGAAATCTAAATCATTATAATTGATTAATTCCAACTAATACATATTCAAATCTAGATAAGCCTACTAGGTGATCCAGTCAATCATTCTCCTTGTGAATGAACTCAACTCTGTCTGAGGTCTCCTTCGCAGCAAAGTCGAAAATGGGAGCAATATGCACCGCGTTCTTCTGTACATCTAGAGTAACGTCCATATGGATCATTTTCAGTGATTTACCGAGCAAAACGATGTCGTTCCTAAGACTTTCATTCTCCCCTGCTGTGATGAGAATCTTGCTAACAATTTTGTCGATTCCTTGCTACTATCTATCCCTCTGGAATTTTATTTTATTTGGACATATTGGTGTCGCGACTCAGAAATAGACGCAAGATACATCAGTCCCCAAAACCTAAGGCGAGCGGAAGAAACGACGTCAAATTTGACATTCTCTTCATGCGATCCCGTATCCCTACTCAGGGACACCATAGGCGAAAAAGGAATTACACCGCCGATAGGCCTTGTTTCGCCGCTGACGATGGGGGATTTTTTTACAGTATCGGATAAAGGATGCAGTGAATGTGTCACTAGCTGGAGAACCAGATTTCCTCCGCTAGAGTTCCCCGAAAGATATGTATTTGATGGCGTAACTCCCGAATTCATAACATGTGAGATGGCTGAAATTAGCTGTTGGAGCTGTGTCGGGAATCCAGCGGGCGAAAGAGCTGAGACACAATCAATAAAGCTTCCAGATTTGGTAAAGAAATTTACCCCCTCACAATATTCCAGTACAGCAATATCTAGAATTCTCCATCCTTTTTAACGAGCTCTGTCTCGATACGTTTCCAGGATTGATATTCAAAATCAGAAAGGGGACCAACAAAGCCTCCGCCTAGGCAAACAAATTAGTAGCGTTCGAGAACTAAAATACAAGGGAATTGGTATACCGTGACAATAGATAAGAACTCTGTCTGATTTCGGGGGCCAATGCACATTAATTTTGCACCGGTGTCCAACTCATCAACCCGAGGTATCTCTCCGGCGCTCTTGGTTCAATTCAAATATGAATTATACGTAGGAACGGACAATGCTTGTAGTTGTTTCAGTCTTCTCGAGGATGAAGCGTGCACTTGAGTCGAATAGTAGGTGGCTTTTGGTTTTTACTCTAGTAAATCTGGTACTCGACGAACGAACACATGGCGTTAAAGCTTTTATTTTTATAAGACGAGATAGAATCCTCTATCTACCAGAAAACAATTTTTGAGGTCGATTTGTGATTTGCATCCACTCGATTCAATTTTTCTTTCTGTGTTGTGAAATTCTTGTGTCATTATATTCACACAGGTGCAGAACGATAAACGTTTGATCTTCGACTTAGTCAACTTAGTTTGAAGTGATTTAAATTTCCTCCTAAATAATCTTAGTCGCAGCTATAGATTTCTATAAGTAATCCAAGCCAAAGTTGAATCCAAAGTATAAGGTTCTACTCCCGACCTTCCCAGGTTTCATATAATAAATGAACAAGCGAAGAATCAGGAGTGGAGGGAAGAAAAGAAAGAAAAATAGAAGTCCCTTCTCGAGGTGGCCAACCTCGACAAGACAGAGAACTCTCATCTCCCTCGCGTTCCGGAAGGACTGAGAAAGAAAATAGTAGAAGAAACGGAAGAAAGGACAAGAAGAGTCATCTTCTCGAGCAGAATGTGGCCAACACCCCGACGAGGAAGGGACCCTTATTTCCCTCGGGTCCAGGGAGGACAAACGAGAGACCGGAGGCAAGCACCGAAAAGAAATAAAACGAAGAAATAAAGACCAGTATGAAGCTCAACCCAAAGGGAACGACAGAGACTGGGTGACTGCTAGCACATACCTCAAGTGCATCGGGCCAGCTGGCAGACAAGACAAGTAGTATCTCGCCAGCCCAGGAAACTCGAAGGCGTTGCATGACAGCCACGTACAGAATGGGGCCAGCTCACCGACGTATTTAGTGAACGGTCGCAGCACGCGGTGGATACTGGCCGTCGAAAGTAAGCGCAGAAAAAGGGAATGGAGGCACTGGGGAGATGTGGTGAGATAGTGGCGATAAGAGGGAAAGGAGCGATGGCTGTAAACGCCCACCCTCGTCCTCGTTTATACCCTGAGGGTGCGGTCCTCAAATTTTGGTTCCGGGGCGGGTAAGTCCGAGCCCTCAGTTATTTAATTGCCTCGTCAATATTGTTACAAAATGAACATGATTCGAATAAGAATATAAGGTATCGCTCCTGGTCGATCTATGAGTCTCCTTTAGTACGTTTCATATATCAGGAATGACAGACCAAAACATACTGTGAGTATTGGTCTGTTCATTGTGAGTATACGTGTTATAAAATTTCAGCGATCGAGTAATATCTGCAGCTGGAAGCCACATGAGCGCACCTTTCGAGACTACACTTATATGGAGGAGGAGAATGACCGCCGAGGAAAGAAACCTGTGACACATGACGCGTGACATACAACTAACTGCCAAGGCCCAAGACACGGCGTTCGGAGTCAGACTTCTTTTACTCCAGTCACCAGTGAGTTCAGGTTTTCATCCCTGTGTTCCAATCGCGCTAATCATGTTTTTTAAAGCTATGCAAGCCAGTGCGATCCAAGTCATTCGACTTCTGGAAACGGATTATGTCCCCAACCATATCGAGGCCGAATCTTACCGAGAATCCTTGACCAAAGGCGAAGCCTCTATTGAAGAGACAGCGGCGAAGATTTCTGATTTGAAAAATCAAATTTCAGACCTAGAGAAGTTAATGTTTAACTACCCTAGAATCAAACAGATGATAAATCGGAGGTCAGCCCCGTTGACCTTACTCGAATTTTGCAAGAGATGGCGAAGAATTGCGTTGGGTACTCCAGGGTTATTCGTCAATCTGATGGCTACGCACTCGTTATTACCTCTTAATGCCGCAGCAATTACAAATCTTTGGCTGGAAAAGTCTAAAATATTACCGCTGGATGTGTCAATCTCACCAGAATATTGGGGGATTCAAGAGGAATTCACGAGGCAAGCTCTCGAGCAATTAGGGGAACATATACATCGCATCCGGGGTCTGATAATAAGCGTTTCGATCTATCTGAAATGGTTTATCCCTCCCATGTCGGAATTGGAGGCTTCTTCCTTGAAGGAAATTTATCTGCTCCCTAGCAGCATGCGTCACCCCGGGAAACTACAGCCGGGACACCTCAAAACTTTCAACGTAGAGAAAATCGATATCCAAACCTCACTCAATTGGCGTTCATTTATCATAGTCGGAAACACAGTTTCTTCCTTCACTGATATTTTAAACGAATATGCGCCGGAGGACATTTTGGAATTCCTTGCACAATGGCCTAATATTGAATCATTTTCGGCAAGCTGCAACATATCAAGTACTCATCATCACCCGGCAAATCCTAACAACCCTACTCAGGCTCTCGTGTCCTTTCCCCGGCTACAGACGTCCCCATTGTCGATAGGAAATAACGCAACTTGTACAAAGCTACCGGGCTATCTCTAACGGATTCGCATGCCCAAGCTCACCGAATTTAGTTTGCAAGGAGACTCTGCTTCCAGATTTCAATCAAGGGCAATATGGTTGGCGATCTCCACCGCTCTATCGATGTCAGAAACAACTCTTGAAACACTAGTGTGTTCTATTGATCCATATGACGAAGCATCACGAGTACTTCTCGAAATGTCTCTTATTTGACCCTGCAAAATATGGATCTTTCTGCTGAAACCTTTTTTTCGGCTGTTAGACAACATTTTGCCCAAAACTCAAAGAGAGCTAGACCTCTGGCAGCAGTTTCAGATTATCCGATTCGTTAATTGACCTAATTTGTAGTCGCGTTGCAGAAAACGCTGACGATTATGATAGTGATGAAGATAATGAAGATGGCCAAAGTCAGCGCCAGTACTTGGAAATGATCGATCTTGAAGATTTTCAAGGTCTTAGCAAATCTGATACAAACGAAATCATAGAATTCCAACAGGATTGTCCGTCCATAAGAATTATTATCGACGAACCTGAAGAATCAGAACCGTCCATCGATCCATACGATCCCTTTCCTCACTGGTAATGATAGTTGGAAATACTAGTCCAAGTAGAGCCCTGTCTGTACGTCTATTTACCGTTTCAATTTATACCCTCTCTAATGATGCGGTATCGAAGCTATGCAGCCTTAAATTTTTAAATGCTTATTTCTTCAACTTGTGTTCCTCCATAAACACCTTGATAGACATAAATTCATAATTGCTTAGAAATTGTTCGCCATTTCAAAATCAGGAACCTGAAATATATGATTTGGGTACATAGTTGACTCTGCCCTATAGGCTGATAGTAACGCAATGAGTCCATGTACTATATGGGAAAGTTGCGGCTTTTGTCACTTCTCTGTATGGTATTTCCCACCAGAATTCGTGCGATGCCGACATCCATGCGTGATAGGACAGTCTGCGTCATTGGCATCAGGAGTCGCATCTAATAAATTTCGTACGTTTAATATAAATTGGCGCTATCGTTTCCTTCAATACGTTCTCGTATTTCTCTAACTTGAATCGGAAAGGTTCCCGTAAAACTGGGTCCACTTTCACCGTGTCAGAAGCTCTGCGCTTACTTACTATAGATACTTTATAGAATAGAAAGTCTGCATTCAGTACATATTTTATTCATAAGTGCAAAAATTCAAATAAAACCGTCCGTTTATATTGCTAGAAGCGGTTTCCTTCCTTTAAGAACATGTCAAAATGCTCTGCAATTTCTGCAGAACAACCCCTTGAATAGCGGCATCGACGT